TAAGAACCAGCTGCTAGGCCCAATCCAAAATTCCCTGGCAAACTAGGGTCGAGAAGATTCCAAGAGGCAAAAATAAAATCAGGGGCGCTTGAGTGGTTCAGTTGATTAAGCGTCCAACTTCAGTGCAGGTTATGATCTTGTAGTTTATGAGTTCAAGCCCCGTGTTGGGCTCTGTGTTGACAGCTCAGAGCCTGGAGCTTGCTTCGGATTCTGTGTTTCCCTCTCTCTCTCTGCCCTTCCCCTGCTCATGCTCTGTCTCTCAAAAATAAGTGTTAATTTTTTTTTTAGTAAAATAAAATAAAAACCAAAAAACCATGCAAACACCTCAGAGATAAACTCCCTCAGACTTCTCTGCCAGGACGGAAAGAGAGACAAAGCAGCTAGGTTCTCTGGCCTGGACTTTCTCAGATCTTTGTACCACCACCTCTGTCCAGCTGCTCTTGCACACCACAGCTCAGCCCTACAAACACCCAAGGAGAGTGGCCATGGGATAATGGCCACCCGTAGGCCTCCTCTGGCCCATAGACAAGTTTTATTTAGCCTGCACACAGTTTTTAAGTTAGTTGTTAACATTTCAGTTTTTTTTTTAATGTCTGTTTATTTTTGAGCGAGAGACAGAGCACGAGCAAGGGAGGGGCAGAGAGAGAGGGAGACACAGAATCCGAAGCAGGCTTCAGGCTCTGAGCTGTCAGCACAGAGCCCGATGCAGGGCTTGAACTCATGAGCTGTGAGATCATGACCTGAGCAGAAGTCAGATGCTTAACCAACTAAGCCACCCAGGCACCCCAGTTGTTAATATTTTAAAAGAGAGACATTTCACATAATAATTCTTGGTTTTTGTGCCTTGGGAAAATCAAAAGTTCTGGCCAAGTGGCTCTGTATCTGAGAGGCAACTGTGAGCCAAAGCTGAGTGGTGGCTGCCTCCAGGTTCATTATTTTTATACCTAGACCACTTGACTCATTTATCTTCCTTGCCTGACCCCTCTAGGAATGTAAGTTTTTCACTCAGGCCAACTGAGACCTCCCCTCTGCTAGCAAATAAAATAGCACCTCACCTGCCCTGGCATTCAAAAGTCCTTCAGAGCATGGCTCATTCAGACTTAACACCTGTGACTATACTTCATTCTAAATGTATCTACTCCTTCGTGTCCAAATGAGTCCCTTGTCTTCGCACACTGGTACCTTTGCTAGTGCTTTCTTATTTCCTCTAAGATGCATTTCATTCCAACTTGGCCAGAACTCTCCCACACTCACTGAGGTCCGTATGAAGGCCTTCTCAGAACCTCCCAAGCGGATGTGAGCTTTCTTTCATTTGATGCTCCAAAGCACCTTGTCATTTTGAAGTACTAGCTCCGGACTCTCAGGGCTTCACACATTTGCATATTATAATTATTCTCCCTATGATTCATTCCCCCTCAGCCAGTAGTTCCAGTGGAGCCCAGCCTTGCAGTCGACTTCACCATAGCATTAGTGTGAATAAGGACACTATCTTAACCCTTCAGACCAACCTGGTCACCAGAAGAATACCACTGAACTAATCCCTCAGTTCATGCCACCTGGAACAGAAGAATTGCCTGACTGAGACCTGCACACATCTTTGACTTTTGTGACAATTGTGAGATAGAGCGAAAGCGTTGTTGTTTAAGCCACTAAGTGTTAGGCCAGTTTGTTACACAGCAGTAGGTAACTGAGACAGTTGGGAATCTTGCTATTGATTTTCTTCACGTCTTTTTATGAAACTAAAAATATATACATACACACACAACTTAGAGATGGGGAAGAGAACTAGTATTTATGAAGCTCCTAATTTGATTTCTGTCTGACACTTTTACATGCATTACCTCATCTAATACTCAAGACAATCCAGCTTATATTATTATTTATGCTTAAAAAAAAGAAGAGGGGCGCCTGGGTGGCTCAGTCCTTTCAGTGTCTAACTCTTGATTTCAGCTCAGGTCATGATCCCAGGGTTGTGGAATCAGGCCCTGCGTTTGGCTCCACGCTGAGCATGGAACCTGCTTAGGATTCTCTCTCTTCCTCTGACCCTCTCCCCCACTCACTCTCTAAAAATAAAATTTAAAAAAATTAAAAAAAATTAAAATTAAAATAAAAAGAAGAAGAAACCAACCAAAGCCTAGAGAAGTTCAGTAACTTGCAAATGATCACATAAGTCCTGAGTGGGGGAAATGGGAATTGAATGCCTAGTCTGCTCTATCCAGCTACAGAATCCTTGTTTTTGTCACCACCTCACATCTCCACACCACTTCTCTGGGCTCAGATAGTGGTCTACACTCCTCTTAACCTGACACCATATGTGGTCTCTTCATGCTGCCGCAAAGCCTTCAGAACCTTCCTCTTAAACGACCATACATTATTCCAATTATAGTTTACATACCATTCCCCTCCTGTGGAGCATTTACATTCCTTCCAAATCTTTTTGCCATTAAAAGAATTCTGACAGTTGCATTCTGCTACAAAGAATAGGAATTCCGAGGGCGGGGTGAGCCTTTCTTGGGTTTCTTTGGTATTACCAGGAATCTCATCAACGTGACTCTTCCAGCCCTCTTCCCACCCACCCTCTGAGCCCTGACTGCCTTAGTGAACCCCCTCACGTCAAGCTGTGGCCTAAGGAGAGTGTTCCAGGTGGAGCAGAGGAGGGGAGAAAAACAATCCCCTTGAAACTCGCACCCATTTTGCCCAGATGAGTTCATCACCTTTTATCAGTGTTATGCAGACCTCATTAATCTTAAATCGCTTTGACGGCTGGAAAAATGAAGACTGTGTCAGGATTCTTGTTGATTTTGAAAAGATTATACACATCCTGTTATTTCAAAAGGGCCAGGTGAAAGATTTTTAAATCCTGTTAAGAATTTTAGCCTATATCCTGAGAGAGTAGGTAGACATTAAATGGTTTTAAATACAGGAGTGATGACCTAATCTGATTTTTTTTTTTTTTTTAACTAGAAAGAACACCCTGGTTTGGAGGATAATGACAGGATTTAGTGATTGAGAGGACAGAGGGTGGAGGCTAAGGGAGGACTCCAGCAAGACCCTAGGATTCTGCCCAGGACAGCTGGGTGGGTAGGATGAGAAGCAGTAAGGGAATAACAGCACAGTAGTCCCCTTTGGGACCAGGTGAGCTAGGGGGGCCTGAGGGCAGCGCCTGGGACAAGCCTACTTCCGCAGGGACCAGGGACACAGGCCTGGGAGAGAGGGCCCCTAGGCCAGGAGTGAGAGGGATGTGGAGGGCCACCGGCAGGCCCTGCTGGAGAACTGCGGACCCTGGCGAAGGCCCTGAGGCCTCAGCAACCCATGAGGCTACTAACCCTTTCCTTCCCAGGAATGGAGTCCTGAACTACTCCATCTTAAGGGGCTGTTTGAGCCAGTCACCGTGTCCCTGGAGGTTTTCAGGTCAAAGATTCCCACTGATTTTATACTTAGGAGAAAGCACTACCCCCCAGGAAGTAGCCCCAGGAAGAAAATCCCCTTGTTTCTGACCTCCCAAAGATCTGCAGCCAGCCAGACACAAATGCCAAGGTGACCTGCACAGGCTTGGATCCGTGCTTTAAGAGGAGCAAAGACAGACTGCTGGGGAGAGGCAGTTCCACCCCACCTGGGCATCTGGGAGTGTGAAGACGGGATGGGTTTTCCTCTGAGCCGTAAAAGAACAGGTTGACTTCCTCAGGTGAGTAGGAGGGGATAGAACGCTCTAGGAAGAGGGACCGGCCTTGCAAAGATCCAAAGAGGGGGAAATACAGGACAGGCTGGAGCTGACGGAGCTTTGCATGACTCTTCTTAGATGCAAGGGGATGAAACTGTTTCTACTACTCAGACTCACAAGTCTGTGACGTTCTGGGGCAACAATCTAACCATGGCCCCGAAAGCTTCTTCGTCATTAGTGGCTGAGACAGAAATTTCCTGTGACGTCATCTGGGAAAATTGCTAGGAAGCTCAGTCCCTAACTTGCCCTGGCCTGACCTCTAAAAAGCAACTTTCCAGAGCCTGTGGATGTGCATTTTTTGAACTAGCCTCATCTTTCCCTGCCTCTTCCTTTCCTACCTGTATTTTTCCTTTTGCCTTCTTTCTATTTAAACCTTTAGAGAAAGAGATAAGCTATGTAAAAATAAGCCTATAAAACACTCAACCTACCATCTTTCAAAAGAAAGCCAGTGTCCACCAAATCTACAGAGGGGTCAGTGGTGCGGCGGGTCCCATGGGTGGAGCTAGATGGAGGCCAGGTAGCTAGATGGAGGTCCAGGGAGGAAGTACAGGAAAGAGCAGGCCGGGGCAGAGGACTCTGGGGACAGCAACTGAAAGCACAGAAAATCCTGGGGGACCCCGGAAGGTTATTAGTCCAGCTACATACTTAGAGTCAACTTCAACTGAGGCTGGTCAGGCAAACCCAGGTCATTTTGTCCCAAATGTCATATTCAAGAGTTAAGAGAAGAGGGGTGCCTGGGTGGCTCAGTCAGTTGGTTAAGCATCTGACTTTGGCTCAGGTCATGATCTTAACAGTTTTGAGCCCCGCTTCTCTCTTTCTCCCTCTCTCTGCCCCTCGCTCACTTGTGCCCCCTCTCTCTAAGGAAGAAAAAAAAGAAGATTGAAGAGAGGGGATTTTCAGGCTTCATATTTTCTACCCCCGCCCCCCCCACCACCACCACCAATGAGGTTCCCTTTTGTGTGGGGTACCCTGGGAGATGTGAAGGGCCCAGGGATGTGGAAATCGGGTGGGGAGATTATGACAAGCACTCTTGAAAAACTTCAGATTTGCTGCAGTTTGGCGGGGACAGCAGCGGTAGGTTGGGCTCTGAGCTGCTTTGCCATGGGTGTGGGGGCCAAGAGGAGGAAGAGACACCATACCCCTAGGAGTCTTTAATTAACTTGGCCATTTTTGCTGAGAACTTACAGGTGGAATTCTTCTCCGTGGAGCTGTGTTTGGCAGCAGGCTCAATATATAACATGTAATCGTTACATAAATCTATAGTTTACAAATACACGACATGGTATTTGCTCCTCCAGGGCCAAGACCCACAGATGCCGGTAAGGAGATTTGCCAGCAACAAGGGAGAAAGTCCCAGGCAGCCTCACAAAAGTTTTCCTGTTTCTATCCTTCCAGCATTCCTCAGGGAGGGCCTCTTAGCTCATGGACCGGTCCCCCGGGGCCGGTGGGGAGGGACTATTGGGGCAGCAGATGGCAGAATCATACCATCTAGGACTAAGTCCGTGCAGGAGGTTGGGTCATCGTCATCGAATGCTTTCTTCCTCTGTGTAATCATTTGACAGGAGGCTAATCAGTGCTCGCCTGAGGAGACCCCTAGCTCAACCTTCAAACCCCGGACGGGGGAGTCCTAGGCCGGAAAGTCCTGCTCTGCTTGCGCTGAGTGGGAGAGGGACTCCCCAGCTCAAAAACTGAGTGGGACAGCAGGTAGCAGGACAGCAGATGTGCTCGGTCTGTCACTAGGCAGACAGGGTACTTTGTTATGGCTATTTTGATCCAGACATCTTGAGGGCACAGAGAGTTTAGCATGAATAAAAACTATATGATCAGGGGCGCCTGGATGGCTCAGTCAGTTAAGCATTCAATTCTCGATTTCGGCTCAGGTCATGATCCCAGGGTCGTGAGATCAAGCCTGCTGTTGGGCTCCACACTGAGCATGCTTGGGATTCTCATTCTCTCTCTCTCTCTCCCTATCTCTCTCTCTCTCTCTCTCTTTCTCTTTCTCTCTCTCCCCAGCTCATGCTTGTGCTAATGCTCTCGCAAAATAAATAAATAAACATTTTTTTCAAAAACCTACATAATCATATTTGAGAGAAGATGCCAAAATACTAAGTGATTTCATACATAGTAACTGCAAACATGAAGCATGAAACTTTATTTTTAACAGCCAACAAATGTTCAGTGATTGTCTACTCTGGGGATGGCACTCCGTAGGCATAGCACCGAAGACCCAGTAATGAAGAAGAAGCAGGGTCAAAGAGGACAGATAAAAGGAACAGTCAGCAAACACCCCCATATAACTCTAATTCATGATACATGCCTTAGCAATAACATGAGCACTCTTTTTTTTAATGTTTATTTATTTATGACAGAGAGAGACAGAGAGAGACAGAGCACAAGTAGGGGAGGGGCAGAGAGAGAAGGAGACAGAATCGGAAGCAGGCTCCAGACTCCGAGCTGACAGCACAGAGCCCAACGTGGGGCTTGAACTCACAAACTGTGATCGTGACCTGAGCCGAAGTCAGTTGCTTAACCGACTGAAACACCCAGGCTTCCCAACGCGAACACTCTTAGTAACAACAATACCTAACATTCATTGGGCTGACAATTCCAGGCACTGAGCTGAGTGGTCTTCAATTCGTCCCATCATACAGTCCTCACACAACTCCACAGGCAGGTGTATTTATCAGCCCCTTTACAGATGAAAACACCTAAGGTGCAGAGGAGTTAAGAGACTTGCTAGGTAGGAAGAGGCGGAGCTGCTACTTGAACCCAGGTCTGACTCCAGAAAGTAGGCCCTTGACCCTGAAGTAAAGAGCAGGAAGAGGAAGTAAAGATCTTGCCCTCAGCACGGGGGAGACCTCTCTGCACTCCCCGTACCCTCACCCTTTCCTTGCCCTTTTTAGCCCAAGTAGGAATGACAATTCCATTGACCTACTGGCCTGGTAACCAGGGCCAGACAATTTCACATCTACTTGTTGGGTCACGAAATAGGATCAGGAACGGAGTTAGGGTCAGAAATAGGATGATCGTGCCTTGCGAACATAATTATATCCCTTGCACTCTGTGATCAAAATGAGTCAGAAGGTTTTGCTTAATGTCAGAGTCACTTGACTGGCTCTCAAAGAGGTCACCCAGGGTAGTTTTACCTTGATGAATTTTCCACAGAGCTGAACCTGCTTCACAGCCAAGTCGGTGCTCTGAGGTTCAGCTGCCTGGAGAAGCCTGACTCCCAGTAATCCAACACATAGGAGGCTGAAGTATATAACCAGATACTCACGTATTCATTAACAGTTGGTATTAGTCCTTCAATAGCTGGAATGCTCCTCCCTCAACTGGAGCACCCTTTTCTCAATATCAGCAATCAGAAAGCCAAATCACCCATCAGCTGGCTGGTTACTGAGTGTACCCCAAGAGTTGGCCTAGGCAGATTTCTTTCAAATCAGGGTGGGGCTTAGCGAGTCATCTTTACTTCACAGCAGGGCACATCTGTATGAGCTCCAGTTTCATGTGCTCTTTCCTGGACAGTGGTGGAAAATAAGTGTCAGCTCTGGCCTCTGGGCTTTACCCTACTTCTTTTTGCTTTCTCTTCTCCAGCCTTCTCTCTCATTCTTGTTTCATGCTTTCTCCATACAGTACAACTGATTAGGTTGCTGACCATTCAATTGTATCACATTCCAGCCCTGCTCTCCTGAGATTACATGAGGGAGATGACCTGATGGGTGGGTTCATTGATCCAAACTCTTCATTTCTTTATGGACTTTTTGTGTATATTCTCAGATATATTAGGTTGAACCATATGAGATTACTATTTGGGTAGGTCGAAAACAAAGAGCAGCAACTTTATGTGGTATAACTAACAACAGACCAGATTTATTAGGGGTGGGCTTACTGAGCCCAACTCCTTTTAGCAAGCCTTGATGGTAAGCGTGTGTGTATATGGAGGGTCATACATGGCAGGCTTTTATGTCTCTCTGGAAACAGGCATCTCTGGCTAGCCATTAGCATCTGGGACTTCATTCCTCTTGCTGTCCATTCACTCTCTGACAAGGGCCTTAATGTCAAGGATGAGCCAAGGAGGGACTTGAGGTTGAGGGAGAAAGTCAAACTCTTTGTTATATGTGACAGAGTATGTGTTCTGAAGCCAACAGAGAACAATTTTAAGGAACACTTTTAGATAGTTCATATTTTGTTTATTCCCCTATTCATGTGAAAAAATTAGGGACTACTGGAGACCTGTGTGAAATAGGCTCATGCCCGACACCATTCCTACCTTCCAAGGTTTTCACTGGCTATAGTTGTATGTACATATACCTGTGTGTCTGTTTCTGGTAGCTGATTACCATATGGTAAGCTCTGTGAGGGTAGGGCTTATCTCTGACTTACTGGTCTTTAATTCCTATCATAGGGCCCGGCATACAGTAGGTGCTCATTAAAAAAAATGTTTTATATAAATTAATGAGCGAGTGAATGAACGAATGAGGTTAAACAACAAACAAATCATGGAAATACCAAGAAGGCATCAAATACCATACCAAACAAAAGGTCTCTGGACCTTTAAAGGTCAGGAACCAGGCTGCCTGTGGAAGTCAGCAAGGCTCCCCAGGGAAAGTAACCTGAAAACATTTGCTCCCCAACTGGAAAAGGTTGGTGGACCAGCTCAGGCGGTAGCACAGTCTGCCTCACAGATGTGAGAGAAGAAGCCACAAATGAAAAGAAGCCACAAATGAAAAGTTGTTCCCTATTTCCTGGCAAGCTCTTTGGTCAGCATGAGCCACATTCCTTTGAGCTGAGCATGTGTGGAATTTCCAGTCTAGGTAGCAGAATGGAACTTGGAACAAATAGCTCAGCAAAAAAGAACCCGGGGACAATGGGACCAGACCCAGCTGCCCTTTGCCAACTCTTGAGCTCACAGAATATCGGCTCAGTGGGCCTTGTTGAGGGAGATAAATAATGTCTTTTGGGCTGTACCACTTCAGAGGACTCAGAGAGACATTTCCATGTTCAGACAGCACTAAAATCCTTAGAAGATATGCTAAATATCTAGGAATGGTCTGAGTCCTCACCATGTTCAACTTTCCATCTAGCAAGGACAAATTAAGGTCTGTTTTGCTTTACAGATGGGGAAGGTCTCAATACTGGAAGGTAGAGGAGAAGAAACCTTCATCAAGAGAAAGCTGGAGGATACTTCAAGGTGAGGACAGGTGATGATGAGGGGGTGATGGCAGGATTCAGGGCCCTATGTGATCAATCTGGAGGAAGGAGTCAGGGGAAATTTAAGAGGAACTGGTGGGAATATATGCTGTCAGTTTCAGGGCAGAGGATTCAAATAGGAAGGGATCAGCTTCTTGGAGGAGACAGTAACTGCAGACAATAACACAAACACAAAGATACTGGTCTCTCTACTGGCCTGACCTGAATTTCTTACATATGATCGTGTTCTAGGAGCATGTCATGAATCACACTGAAAAATGTAGTGGGGATTTCTGCTGTGTCAACCCTCAACTGAGGTTCCTTCTCTCATTTTCCCAAGTCATTAATTCCTTCAAGACACTGATATATTGATGGAGACCTAAGAAAGGAGAGACTGAACTCCAGTTACTCATATCTCGATCTTCTTGATTATAATGGAGTTGAAGGCAGGAATGACGAATTACTCAACCTAGAATTAGCTACGTAACCTTAAATATAGCTAAATAGGTGCTTCATAGATGAGGAAAAAAAGAACGAAAGGAAGGAAGGGAAGAAGGGAAAGGAAGAAAAATGTTACAAAGATGTTAAGGGAGATGGAGTGGGAGCAGTACTTAACTTGGCCTGCATCACAGGAAGATAGGTAGTGTCACAGAAGGAAGTTACCTAGGGCCCATTTTGAGGGTGGGGCAGTTAATGTTTGGGGAATAATATGTAAGCTTGCTGTTGATCAAGGCTAGGTACCTGATTTACTTTGTTGACATATTTTGGACTTAGTTCTTTTAACAAGTAGTGGAGGTGGGGGAGGGAGAGAAGACACCTTTAAATGGCGAAACACAAAGGAAAAGACAAAGATGCAGCTCCATTTACTGGCTGTGCTGTATCTACCCCATGAAGCTACTAACATAGTCTGAGTCATTTCCTCAGTGGCTGTTCGCTCCTCTGTCCTTAGAAGGAGGAAGTGGAAAGTCTAATACATTACGGTACCTTTTTCTTTTTCTAAAATTTTTTAAAAAGTTTATTTATTTTGAGAGAGTGAGAGTGGGGGAGGGGGTGAGAGAGAGAGACAGAGAGAGACAGAGACAGAGAGAGAATCTTAAGCAGGCTCCACACTCAGTGCAGAACCCAACGCAGGGCTCGATCTCATGACCATGAGATCATGACCTGAGCCAAAATCAAGAGTTGGTGGCTCCACCAACTGAGCCATCCAGGCACCCCTAGGCCACCTTTTTCATATGAAAGGATTCCTGGAACACCTGGGTAGCTCAGTAAGTTAAGCCTTGGACTTTTGATTTCAGCCCAGGTCATGATCTCTGGGGTCAAGTCCCGAAACAGGCTCTGAGCCGAGCTTGGAGCCTGCTTAAAATGCTCTCTCTCCCGGGGCGCCTGGGTGTCTCCATCCAACTTTGGCTCAGGTCATGATCTCACGGTTTGTGAGTTTGAGCCCCGCATTGGGCTCTGTGCAGCCTGCTTCGGATTCTGTGCCTCCCTCTCTCTCTCTGTTCCTCCTCCACTCGCACTCTCTCTCTTTCTCAAAAATAAAGATTTTTAAAAATTAAAAAAAAAAAAGATTCTCTCCCTCTCTCTGCCCATCCCCTGTTCACATTCTCTCTCTCTCTCTGAATAAACTTAAAAAAAAAAAGAAAAAAAGGATTCCTTTCATTCTCAAGGCCCACAAAGTACTTAACGTAAGACCAGGTTTGACATGGGTGTTTTATCCGCACCCTATGACACATCATTCTCCTCCTTTTATCAGATATAAAGGCTAAGGATAAATTGCAGCCATCATCTAGACTCAAGTCAGGGCAGGGGGCACTATTTAAATGTATTAAAAAGTCACATATTTCGCATCCAATGCCTGTTTAATGCTGGGAAGGGAACAGGTCCTCTTTTCCCACATAGCTAATACCCCCATTTCACAGATCAGAAGCTTGAGGATCAGATTTCCTTAGCTCGATCTTGATGGACGTATCTAGCAGCGGATGGAGTCCAGACAAAAGTCAATCCGTGTCTATCTACCTACTGGCTTATTTAAGATCTTTTCTTACAGAACCTAAACGTCAAGCCCACTATTTTCCTAATAATTATCTCATCACATGAAAATTAAAACTCGTCAGACCAGAAAGAGTGGAAGTATAAAGTAGAGCGGTGGGAGAGGTACCATCTCTCCCACCACTAGTTTAACACAGTACATTTCCGTTTCGCTAAAAGTTCAAGCCACAAGGCCACAGTTCACTAAGGGCGAGCAGACACATGCCTGCACCCTACGCATGCGCTCAGCTGGGACCCACCCGCCCCTTTCACCGGACCTCTTCAGCCAAGTCACCAATTAGCCCTCTAAATGCCCGCCCCCAAGGCTAAACCCTCGGCCAATCGGAAGAAAGGAGCCATCAGGCACATCACTTATGTAGCATACACCCTTCTCTCCCCTTCCCAAGGCCCCGCCCCGTCTGAGGCAGGGATTGTCGCCTAAGTGCTTCGTTCTGGCACCTGATTGGCTCCTTTCCCAGCTCCGCCTCTGTCTCCTCCCACAGCCCTCCCCACCGCAGACCCACAGGGGCGGGCGGAGCTAAGTACGCAGGCGCGGGTACTGCCTCTCTTTTCTAGTGGCCCGCCCTCCCTCC